TGATGATGATGATGATGATGATGATGATGGTGATGATGATGATGATGATGATGATGATGATGATGATGAGGAAGAAGAGGAGGGTGATGATTAGACAGTCATTAGATCTAATAATTTTGGAAACTCTATAAGTCTCAACCTTTTTTGTTCTCTGCTGTTTACAATGACGACGATGCTAATGATGATGGTATTGATGGAATCGACGATTATAATAATGGCAGTAACAACCGATCATTTTGATCATCAAGACACAATAGAGTTAGTATCACAGCCATCTACATGTATTACCAGTTCCCCACTCACCTGTAGTTTGGCCAGCTGCTCTTTGTGCGCCCTGTCAGCGGCCTCCGCCTTCATCCTGAGCGAGCTGAGCTCACAGCCCAGCACCTCCTTCTCGCGGAAGTAGTCCTGGGCCTCCAGTTTGAGAGTGTCAATCGTCTCGTCACGGTTCATCTGGTTGTAGGCCTCGTACATACGGACCTTCTCTTCCAGGACGTTCACGTCTCTCTGAGAGGAGGTAAGGTGAGTTTGAGATGAGGTGAGGTGGGAAGGGGTGGGGTGGGGTGGAGTGTGGTGGGGTGAGGTTGGAAGAGGTGGGGTGAGGTGGGGTGAAGAGAGGTGAGGTGAGGGGAGATGAGATGAGATGAGACGATGTGAGTTTGAGATGAGTTTGAGGTAAGGTGAAATGAGGTGAAGTGAGGGAGGTGAGGTGAGATGAGATTAGGTGAGGTGAGATGAGATGAGATAAGATACTTCATTGTTCCAGTGGGAAATATTTCTTGGCCATGCGGGAATGGTAGAGAGAGAGAGAGAGAGAGAGAGAGAGAGAGAGAGAGAGAGAGAGAGAGAGTGTATGCGTGTGTGTGTGTGTGTGTGTGTGTGTGTGTGTGTGTTTGTGTGTTTGTGAATGTGTCTGCGTGCGTTCATACGCGCGAGTGTGTGCGTGTGTGTGTGTGTGTGTGTGCGTGTGTGTGTATGTGTGCGTGTGTGTGTGAGTGCGTGTGTGTGTGTGTGTGTGTGCGTGCGTCCGCGAATGTGTATGTCTGTGCGTTTGAGTCACCTGCAGTGCATTCCTCTCTCTGTCCCAGCCAAACATGGCTTCCTCCAGAGACTGCCTCGTCTTCTCCAGACTGTCTTCAATAACCCTCCTCTCCCCCTTGCTCTTCTCCAGCTCTCCCTGAACTTTCTTCAGTTCTTCTTTGACCCGGAAGCACTCCTTCTCCGCGTCTGTCTCACAGCGAGGCTCACTGGGAGATGACCCGGATGTGGTCGAAATCTGACCTTGAAGAACACCAATCATGGCGTCCTTTTCATTTATCTGGCCGGTCAGTTCCTTCAGTTTTTCTTCCACCGCCTTTGTTTTGTGTTTCTGCTCGTCAATTCCAGTGTTCAGTTTGAAAAGGATGTCATCCTTTTCCTTCAGTCGCTCGTCGCGAATTCTGATGGTCTCGTTGAGTCCCCTGATGGACCCGTCTCTTTGTGAGATTTGAGTAAGAAGCGTCTGTTGATCTTGTTCACGTCTTTTGTTTTCTCCCTCTTGATCTCGCACAATCTCCGTCTTGCGAGACAGGGCGTGATCTTTTTCTCGTAGGGCGACCTCGTTCTCTGCAATGATTTTGTCCTTGGCGCAGAGCTCTCGCCTCAGAGTTGCTATAGTCTCGTCGAGAAGATTCAACTCTCGAATTTTGTCTCTGAGCTGTAACTCCAGCTCGTCTTTTTCTTTGTCTGATGCTGTGCTTTTAGATTTCCAAATGTCGTTGATCTGAATAAGAAAAACAAAAAAGCAAAACAAAATTCAAGTTTCAGGTTTAATATGCCTCGAGTCAGAATCCACAAACAACATGCACAGTTTCAGATTAAAAGGAGGACATTTTACAGACGCAAAACATAATAACCGTATCAATAAAAATGTATTAGACAAAGTTGAATTCAATAACAATGAGGACAGTTGGATAATATTAAAAGAAGAAATGCACCAAAAAGGAAAAAAAATAACCAAAAACAAAAACAAAAACAAAACAAAAAAAACAAACAAACAACCCCCCCCCCCCCCCCCCCCCCCACCGAAAACACCAAAGTCAAAACCCCAAACCATCAACTATTACCAACATTAAAAGAAAGAAAAAATCAAATTCGAAACAAAACACACCTACAAATAATAGGCCTAATCAAGAAAGAGTCAATGGAAAGGAAACCTGATCTTATCAAGAACTGACTTAAAACGTGTGGGCTGAAGAGAGTAACATCCACAAAATTGTGCTTTTCTACGAATCTAATTCAATTGTAACAAACACCAAACCAGTTTATTTGAGGCCTCCAAAAGAAAAAAAAGACATAATTTTTAGTCACTACAAGAAAGAATTTATCATTAATATTTCAATAGCGCAGTTAGACCCTATGGAAAACCTTTTTCTATTGTATTTCAAAACGTATTTGTACATTTTCGTTCTTGTAATCTAGATCGTATGCGTAACTTTCTATAATTGACACTTTTAAAATGTGTGTAACTGTCTATTCTTGTAATTTAGAACGTATTCGTTACTTTTCATTCTTGTAATGAGAACGTATGGGTCACTTTCAATTCTTATAATTTACAACGTATGGGTTACTTTCTACTGTTGTCATTTAGAACGTATGCATTACTTTCAATTCTTGTAATTAGAACATATGGGTTAATTTCCATTCTTGTAATTTAGAACATATGGGTTACTTTCTATTCCTGTAATTAAGAAGAAATGTGTAACTTCCTTTCTTGATAAAGATCTTATTATGGTGTGACATTCAGCTTTAGTCGAGGTATTTAGATTGAAACACAATATTGTAAATAACTTGCTGTGGTCGAAATTATTTTACCAATTAATGGTGAAAGTATGACATTTCATCCCTCATTCTCAAAATTAATCAAAATTGTCTAGGAACATGACGTCACAGTGAATCAAATATGTCCTCACAGAGAATTTATATCTCGGATGTGCGTACTAGATTGAGTAAGTTATGAAGGGAGGGCTGAAGTTTGTTTTTACTTCTCTATTCCAGTTAACGTGCGTATGTTGGGACAAACTGCTCCAGTCTGAGTTAAAGTTGTAATATGGTACTGTGAATAAACGTCTTTACGCCTCAATCAGTGTGTGAAGATGCCTGATTTACGTACTAGGTCAAGACAAGTAAGTTACGACAGAGGGGGGCTCAAGTTGACTTTTACGCATATACCATACAACCTTTTTAACTATCTCACCATATTATTTGGTGGGTTTTTTTGGAGCTTTAAAAAAAAATTAAAAAAAATTTAATGACACTTGCAACACAATTAGGTCATATAAGTGTCGAAGATTAGAGGTGCTACAAGAGAGTAACAAAAAAAAAAAAAGGAGGAGGAGGGATTTTTTATAAGGACTATATATGGTGAATAGACAAGAAGAAGAAAACCACACCAGGACACCCACCAACCACCCACCAAACTATCTTAACACATTATTTGTTTCATGCAAGTAAGAATTCTTTTTTCTCGTTTTATTCAACAGTTTTGTGAGGCATGCTCTTCAATAATCAAATCCATAACTACCAGACCATACAACTTTTTATTAATTTCGCTTAATGACTGAGAGGGAAAGCGAGTTATGAGGCTTGGTGTTGAGCGAGAAACCATGTTAGAGCATTCTTGTAGACGTTCAGGAGCATTCAGTCAAAGAGGAAACGTGAGAAGAAGAATTATTCTGTTATCAAAGCGAAGCTCTGGCGTTTTAGTATATTCTGGAAATGTTGTGTTAGAATATTATTAAAATGTACCTACAACGGAAATGTAATTTTGAGGAGAAAAAAAAAAACAAGAAAAAACAATAGCAACAATAATATTATGTATAATGTGTTTGTACTTTTGATGTTTCGCAGAATGAGAGGGCCTATTCTAAGCTCGCACTGTACACGATTACGACATAGTTTTTCTTCATCTAACTTATTTTTGCCTAATCACACAGATGTCTAAAAAAAAAAGAAACAAAACAAAGCAAAACAAAAAACAACCCTCCCCCCCCCAAAAAAAAAACTAAAAAAAAACAAAACTCTTGTTTCCACTGCGCAGTGGTTAGTTTCTTTGCTTTACACACAAACGATGACAGTTCCATTCTTATGTGGAGAAGATTTTTTTCGTTTTCTAAAATTGCAACCCTCTGTCTTTAGGCAGGGATGTATTCCACACAACCTGAGATGGCCCTCACAAAACAGAGCAGACGCAAAACGATCTTAATTGTGTCAATGGGGGCGTAAAACAGTAATAAAAAAATATACAAGAGTATAATATACCAATAACTGGAATCTGAAGGATGAAAGTGTGCTGATTTCTAGTGTAGAGTTCTCCTGCATAAAGTGATACTTGATACACTAATAAATGGATACAGTATTGCAAGCTCAAATACCTTACTTACGTTACGTTAGTTGAAATCATGCGGGAACAGAAATAGCTAACAAAGAAATTAATAATGTTTAGTTCTAAGCATGATCTGTTAAAAAAGGCGGGAAGCAACTGACTACGTGACAATAAAGCATTGTCCACTTCCGTTAGAGGAAAGGGTTACTGCATTAGTGGGAAGCTACATAATATGCAAAATTATTAGCCAAAAATATAAGAACGTGCTTATTAATGAACACTGAGATTTTGAAGTCGTTCCAAAAGAAAAGTTTGAATAACGTACACAGTGAAAGGCTTGGGTGATACCACTACGGGCGGTGAAAAGGGGGGATCGGGTTCTGGTGGAATGTCATTGGATAGCCGGCACCTCTCTGTGACGTAACTGAAATTACATACACCAATCAGGGGAGAGAAAAATCATTGCTGCTGCTGCCGACAACTTCATCACGACCTCATCTTTATCCAGAGAGAGGACAAATCAATAGAAAAAATGAAACAATGTGAAAAGAAAAGGAATATTTACGTCAAGATTTTACAATTTTGATAAGATTTTGTAACAGGTGAATAAACACTCGTTTTGCATAAGCATGTTTACTGGGGTATCTGAAGTATTTACAGTGTGCAAAGAAGACTGTGATCTTAATACTTAGGACGTAACCCTAGATCTAAGCTGTTCGAAATGCATACATCAAAGAAATGGCGAAACATAATGTGCACAATTGTCCTTTTGTTTGTTTGTTTTTGTTGTTTTTTTTAATTCCGAAAGGGCCTTGAAATTTAAAGATAACAACCGAAACCATAGCCGAACATCAACTAAACGATAAATTCCATTTACATAATATTTTTTGAACCAAAATCGGTCACTTTTGACCAGCTTTACACAAAAGTTACAAAACTGTTGTGTGAATCGACTCACTAAATGAAACCTGCACGCAAACCACATAATGATAATTGTTACGTCATATTTCTTCAACTCCTTGATCAGTATCTGCCGTAACGACTACATCATTCTAACAATAGCCCGCTGACAGGGTTAAAATGGACGAAAGTGAATGTCGAAACCCTCCCCCAAATTTTGTTTCCTTTGCTTGAGGAAAGAGAAGCACACCGACACCATAATGGTCATTAATCTAGTGGTGGGAAAAAGTAAGACAGGTAGGCTGTAGTAACAAAGGGAAACTAAAGAAGTAGGACCTACCAATGGCGCCCTCCAACCACATGCTCACCGAATAAACGATCTTGGCTACACTAAGATATATACAATGAGATTACATAACAGAAGTCTTTCCG